TGTATGTTCTGCGGAGTTGTTTAGTCCGAAACACCCGATTGGTTTGTCCGTGTCTTATGCGAAATGTGAGACACCACCTCTACCACCACCGTCATCACCACCAGTCACCTCAATGACGAAGATGCACATTACGACCGCTGGAATCACGAAAGCTACGGAGTGTGTTCCAATGTTATCTGGAAGCCAGACTCGTGATGTGGAAGAAGATGTAGCGAAGGCGCACATTGATGACTTGTGTGGTATGCATATGAAGCCTCGCGACGTCATGGAAACTATTTCGTCTACTGTATGCTCTGCAGAGTTGTTCAGTTCGAAACGCCAGACTGAACCTGCGTTGGTTCACGCCGAATGTCAGACCCCACCACAAGCATCGGTTGCTCCACCAACGAAGATGGAGAGGACGGTGGATGGAATGCCTGAGACTGTACAATTTGAGCCCTCCGAGAGGGCTGGAGGATTGGTTTCGACGTCAGTGTTGGCATCAAGCGCCGTTGAAGAGATGCCCGATTTGAAGGCTTTAGGTGACTTTGAAGACACGGATTATGCGGCTCTGATGCGATCTGCATTTAGTGGAATTAGGCGTGCAGATGAGGGCACTAGGTCGCTGGACGTTAGGCCTTACGAGGTAGCTTCTGTCTCCGCTATCGCCCAGAGGCACTCAAGTGTGACGGTGTGTCAGATCGGCCTGCAGATGCATCCTGGCCTCGTGGAAGCGGACGGTAAATTGGCATTTGATGAAAGACAACATCGCGAGCGTGACAGGCAATCAACAGATTATTGCAAATGCAAGCAACGAAAGCTGAGGTCAACAGCGGCGTCTACCAGCGTGAGTGTTCCCGCATGGCAGAGGGACTTCTCAGTAGTAGTGAAGAGGGATGGCATGTGGATAGGTAAATCCATGACGCGTATTAACAGTTTCGACACGGATACACAGACTGACGTGGAGATTTGCGACACAAGAGCAGACAGTGTGCAAGAAGGTGTAGTGAGCGAGTCAGTTTGTCGAGGACCTGCGTTGGAGGCCGTCCCAAAACCGAGTGTCGACGTTGCTGGCACTGTGTCCGCCGGAATAACGCAAACGCGAAGAACCTCCGCAATGAAAGTCGCGGAACCATGGCACTCGTTGCACAAGGAGACCTCACGGTCGGTGGAAGTGAAGTCGACGTCAATAATGACGAGCGTGATGATTGGTGGAGGCCACACGGGCGAGAGAGTAGAAAGGCGTGATGAGTGGGAAGGTGCTGAAGCTGCGAGAAGACGAGTTGTCAAGTCGACGTCCACTCAATACCATAGCGTCGTCCAGAGCCGTGTTGGCACTAGGGTGTTTGAAGTAGGCCCAGCAAAGGACTTGGGAGCAGCGAGGAGGTTTGTCGAGTGCTTCGACGCTGGTGTGCAAGCTCAACTGCCGGCTCCCTCTCAGTTTGTTGAAGTTGAGCCTGGAAGCGTAGTAGTGAGACGTTCCAGCGCAGTGGAATCACAGGCTCGTGGAGAAAGTGGGAGATTTGGAACAAGGTTGGATCAGCATTGCTTCCCAATTGACAGACGAGATACTCCTATCGACGAATCGTTGGATACAGCGGATCTGGATGTCAGAGTAGCACATCTGACTGTCTCGCAGTCCACGCAAACATTCCCAGCAGGTGGTGTGGACGTATTTGCTCATGAAGTTGACAAAGCGACGCAGATTGTAGCGTCAGTGGCTCACTCAGAATGTCAGACTGCA